GCCCTATACGATGATAAAAATCCACGCAGCCAGCAGTGGGTTTCGATTGCTGTACGTTGGGAATATATGTCTTTGTGTGTGTGTGTGTGTGTGTATATATAAATATATATCTGTGTGTGTGTTTTAATGTGCCTGCTCCACAATGGATGTTGGCTGTAGTGTAAATGCGTATCCACTACTGCATTTGCAAACACTGACGTGAGGCCCCTATGTTCCACTGTGTGGTACTCTCCGAATGTGCCAGTGGCGAGTTAAAATCCCTGTACTGATACTATCATGACAAACACAACTTTCGTCTGTGCCCAGCAATTTCTTTTTCTTCCCTCTTCTTTGAAAAGGCAAGACCGACGATTAATCGAAATGCTACTGTCACCATTAGTATTGGAACTCCGCGCTGGCTGCTGAAGATGGGGACGGAGCGCTTATGGGAATAACCTGAATGCTGTCATGTCGGTTCTTGAATCAAATCAAATCAAAACCCTCTACTTTGACTTCCACTTTAATTTTCCTGCATAAACTCTACGTATGATATTATCTTCTTTAGCGTAATAATCCGACAATTTGATATTCTTTCGTCAAATTGCAATTAGCATGTTAAATAAACAGGGCCACTGTTTTATTTTTGGCTATTATCCTCATTACTACAGCTACCTGATTTTCTCGTTCTCGAGGCCGAAGTTAAAGATCATTTTGAAGCGTCAATTATGCATCGAAGATCGTAGGTTCATTAGATGAAATGATAGTTCTGTACGCTGTGCTATGAACAATTAAGTAAACTCAGGCAAGGAATACAAACATGGCTGTCAGTGTGTTTTCCCTATACGCCTAAAGGCGTCCAAAAGGGACCTTTACCTTTTTTTCAAATATTCTTTTCTAAATCCGTTTTACAGACCTGATTTATTTTGCATGCGCACTGTTGGTTCCTAGCCAGTTAGGCAGATAAACTTTGACTTCAAAGAAAACAGCCTTATTATTGGCCTTTTTAGATATACTTGTTAAGAGGCCAGTGAATCTATTCTTGTTTTTCCCGAAATAGGGCCAACGATTGCATACAAGGACACGCTACCTTATCGGTCAGCCATGTACCGTCTTCACAAGTGAGGTTGGCTGCAGAGCGTCCACTGAGGTCTTCATGAATACGCAGCCCTAATACGGTGCGACTCTCGTGCAATTGTTTATATAAAAGTTATATAAAAGAAAACCCACGGCCTGGAAATCATGTCAAAGTACACACAGGACTGGAATATAAGTTATCCGCGTGGAGACTTCGGGCCCTATCGTAAAGGGGTGAAAAGCACTTACTTGGCAAATCAGGTTTACTTGCATGCAGACTGCTGGTTGCTCGCAGCTCAGGCAGATGCACTTCGACTTCGGGAGGGGGGGGGGAAGGGGGAGAAGGGATCCCTAATTAGCACCCTTTTTTACGGTTAGGGAGGCAGTGTGTGTATCCCCCTCAGTAGGGTTCCTGAACCCACATAGGGAATTTGGTACAACTAACGAAGTTCGTCCCATATACACCGTGATTGGTCTTTCATTCATTCTTGCTGACCCTTCACATGCGCCACTCTCTGTTACAGGGGTGTCAGGTTTTAGTGCCTTCCACGCTCTCGGCAGTGATGACTCGTGCTTTGTATTTAGCGAAGTGACGTTTTTAACGACGCCAAAATATCTAGGCCTGACCCAAACCTAAACCTCCCCCTTCCCCCCTCCCACTCCTTTCCACCCCAAACTGTATAAGTTAATTTAAAAAAATAGGTCCATATGCCGGAGAGGTGAGGAGCCAACAATCTGCAATCCAAACAAAGTTATTTCAGTAAAATTTATCTACACACAAAACTGGATTCAAGACCAAAATAAGAAGTGGATAAACAACCACAACTTTGCGACGTAGTTTACAGCCAGTGAACGAGAAAAAGATGAAGGATTGCAAAACGATTTATCGAAGCCACGAAACTGCACTTATCTACAAGTATTTTTTGGTTTTGTTTAAAGCACTAACACATTCCAGGTATCAGCTAGACCAAGCAACCGTTAACTTTAGCACTCACTTTCTCTACACGCTGTTAACTGTAGTAACACAACAATAGTGTTTGAATATAACTTACTTCAAATTGAGATAACATAAATATACCATGTGAATCCGCAAGCGACCAACAAAGCAACGCTAAACGTTATGTTTAACGTCCCCGAAAGCAAATGATTCACAAATGTTTACAGATATTAGTTATTCAATATATTCTCACCGAAACCCTTGAAAACACCTCGGATTTTCCACACGCTTGACTACTCGCCATCTGTCTCGATACTTGAAAACATAAAGACAACTTTTGCTAAGACACCGTTGTAAAGATACATTGATTTCTTCTCCATCGGTGGCTTTCTCTTTCGTGACTTGTTTTCTTCTTTCTTTCAAAGAGATCAGTCGGGCTGGGAAAGAACGGTGGCGTGTCAAAGGATTAGCTAACCCGGCCGTATGTGTGGTCCTGCCTTCGTTAAGTTGTTTCAATGCGCGCGGGCCGCGATCTCTTTACACTCGATTATAATAACAAAAGTATTTGTTATTGATTTTGTCACGGGTTTCTTTTTCCTCAACCGTGTTCTTATTCGCGTGCATGTGTGCGTTTGCCGGGAAGGCTGCAAAGATCTGACATCGTATATCAGTGTTTTGTGCCTGGGAGGTTGGCAAAATGCAAATCGAAATTATCAACGATTCATATAAAGCCGCCCATGTTTAACAGAGCCTATTCGCAATAAACGATGATTGCTGTTGTGTGGGCAGGGGGAAATAAGCGGTTTATCTGTTGAGTTATCGATTAGGGCATACATATGTCCATACGTATATGTTATTATAGTTATTATATGTTTATAGCTGCCTGCTGAGTTTGTTGAGGCTCACATCTGTTTTATAATTCGTTGTAAACTGGAGTTTTTTTCGCGGGATTAACCCATGGCTTTACAATATTATGGGTAACTGGATATGATTTCCCTTTCTATTCTGGTTTATTTCATTTAGGATTCATTTCCAGGATTATATCTTTTCTCTCAAGGTAATTATTTATTTTAAAAGTATTTATTGGCTAGAGCTAACGTAAGTACCGTGGCTCCCAGGTCGACCCAGCCTGAAGTGGGTACGGGGTGCAGTCCCGGGAAGTAAAGGCGGCCGGTGTGATGCTGACCACATGACCCATCTTGTGCCGATAGGTCTATAAAAAATATTTGTATGCCCGAAACACAAAAAGGAGTGGAAAAGGGTCCTTTAGTTTTGTATTTGCTAACATGAGCAATAAAACACTTAACCAACTAACATTACTGCGAAATACTACAAACACAACACAGTGAAGACGAGCGGATGGCTACACACACTGTTAGACCGCTGACAGCTCTTACTGGTAAAACCAGATTTGATTCTCGATAGGATTATTAGTACCCACCCAACCCCCCCCCCCCCCCCCCCCCACCCCCATCCCAGCTTTTCCTACTCCTTTTTCCCTGCCCTTCGGGTCAAAGGGCAAACAACAAAACAAAAGCATCCTACCCTCGCCTGGTCATTACCAATGTATCAGCCACGAGGTTCTAAATCCTTCAAACTCAAGTAGCCTTCTTGAGAAACTGTGTCAAGGGGTTGATCGTGCACCCATAAGCGCCCCCCCCCCTTCCACCCCCCCCCCTAATTATGTTTATTTGTTTTGGGAACCTTTCTGTCTCATTACATTAGAGACAGTCCTTTACTTAGTACAAGGCTAAAAAACAAGTATGGTGGGTCACTGCGATCAAGGTCCCTTTCCTACGCTTTCAGACGTACAGGGCTAGACATATATTTTATAGACCACACGGCACTCGGTAGGTGTATGATTAACAACACGTCGGCTGCCCTAACATCCCATAACTATACCTGGTACCCATTTAAGTGAGTCGACCTGGGAGACGTGGTCATTTGTAAAAAAAAAAAAAAAAAAATCTGGCATCGTCAGGATACGCACCCTCGATCTTCCGATCAGCAGGTGACCATCTAGACACCCTTCTACTGAAGCTACATTACGATCGATGCCTGGGTCAATAAATGTGTCTAGTTTCTGACTGTTTTTCTACACCAGTATGGACGATGTGTCTAGTTACTGACTGTTTTTCTACACCAGTATGGACGATGCGTCTAGTTACTGACTGTTTTTCAACACCAGTATGGACGATGCGTCTAGTTACTGACTGTTTTTCTACACCAGTATGGACGGATCACTATACTTATTTCCCTTAGTTTTTGTTTCGTTAGAACCCTTTTAAAACTTTTCTGATAATTTACTGAAAGAAAAAAAAACTATATTTCTAAAACAAAACAGAAATCGAAAGAGATAGAAAAGCCTAGTGCGAATCATGGGGGAAATCCAATTTCATTTAAGAAACCTATTCAGGAGCCATAGGGTAATTGGTTTTGTCATAGTAAGTTTTAGAAGTACAAAGATATTGTTTATATATATATATATGTGTGCATGAGTGTGTTACTATGTGTGTGTGTGTGTATACATATATATATATATATATATATATATATATATATATATATATATATATGTATATATTTATATAATATGTGCATGAGTGTGTTACTGTGTGTGTGTATATATATAAATATATGTGTGTGTGTATATGTGTGTGTATATATATATATATATATATATATGTGTGTGTGTATATATATATATGAATATATTGTGTGTATATATTATTTATATAAACTAATGTTAGAAACAAGAATAGTATTATAGTTAGTGTCTATGTCTGTGTATAAACAAAAAATAAAATTAAAATGCAAAGCTAAAGTTTACGTATTCATAAAAAAAAAAAAATTACAAACCACAATACAGCTATATCTAGGGTGTGTTTTTTGTTTAAATAAATGCTGGAAACTAGAATATAAATATCTTTTATAAACTTAGACACCACACAAAACTCACGAGTTAACTGAGTCTTCTACAGTAAACACTTAGACACCACACAAAACTCACGAGTAAATTGAGTCTTTATCACGTTTCATCTGTGAGTCCTGCGAGCCGCCCATCACTCCAGGCATAGTGGTCGCGGAAGATGTGTACGGGTTAGGGTAGGGTTGATGCAGTGCTGCACTGGAGTGGTTCAAACCCGCGTGAGAAAGTTGGTGGCTAGCGGCAGCCATTGCCCTGTGGGGATCTCCGTACATGCTAGCAGCTGCTTCCATCCCCCCGTATCCCGGAAGTTCTGTGTCATACTGCAACGAGGACGACATCGCCGAAACCACAGGCATCAGCTGAACCAGCAACCACTGAAGCTACAACAACAAATACTTCTCTTCAAGAAGATTTCTACAGAAACCCCACCGCGTAGATTAAATAATTTGAATTTAATCTTACAAGAAAACCGTGAATTTAATTCCTACTAACGAGAAAAGATAAAATTCAAGGATTTATTAAATAACTTTTCTTTGTTTTTCTTTTGTATATATAATGTAATTTTTTTTTTATAATCCTTTACTAAATCAGACACTAAAGTAACATTACAATAGTGACATTTATTTTCTAAGTTTATCTTCTATGTTCATGACTTCTAATTCCGTAAAACTAAAAGAAATTGATTTGTTTTAAAACGTTTATAGAAGAATAATTATTCCGTCGCGTCTTGTCTTATTTTCGTCTCAGTGACCGCACAAAAATTTTTTTTCTAAAACCCAGAATCTTGAATCAGAGATGATACCAGAATACTCCGTTTAGCCTAGTGCCGGTTAAAATGAGGATGTTGTTGGCGACCACGAGGTGGATTATTTAACAAATTATCACCACAAATGACTGCTTTTCAAGCGTGCTGTACATGGAAATCGTGTCTAGTTGTTGGAAGATGACAAGATTGGCAGTGTATAATCCTGGATGGGAGTCTCAACTGATCCCTCGTGCGTCAGGAGCGTGTCAACAGTAACCTGTCAATGTAAAAATATCACCAGTTATAACAATAGCTTGTTAACATAAGTAATATAAAATAGATTGTTAACATAGGTTAAAAAATGGATTGTTTATAAAAGTTATAAAATAGCTTGTTAACCTACGTTATGACAAGAGCATGTTACAAAAGCCATTTCACTTGCATGTTAACATAAGTTTATAAAAAAAAGCATGTTTGAAAAAACAATGTCACTAGGATGTTAACAAAAGTTATAAAATAGCTTGTTAACATAAATTATAACAAAAACATGTTAAAAAACATATTACTAGCATGTTAACATAAGTTATAAAAAAAGCTTTGTTAATATACGTTATAACAAGAGCATGTTTAAAATGTTACATTACTAGTTTGTTTTCCAAAGTTATAACATTGTTAGCATAACATATAACGCAATGCAAACAAAAAGTATAACAATAAAATATGAATACAGCGTATAACAATATCATGTAAGCACAAGTGCTAACAATATAATGTTAACATAAGTTATAACTATATCACATTAACACAAGTTATAACAATAGCAGGTTAGCCTCAAATATAACCATATGTGATAACAATATCATGTCAACGCATGGTTTAAAAAACAGAATGATTATAATTTCCTGTAAATCTAAGGAAAACAAAATAACGAGAACAAATCATCTTATAAAAAAACAAAACTCACAAGCACACTAAAACAATAAAACAAACTTATATATATATATGTGTGTGTGTGTGTGTGTGTGTTTGTGTGTGTGTGTGTTCTTAATTCTTAATCGATTCTTTAATCACTAATCAGTGTGTGTGTATGTGTATGCCCTCGCGTGTGTGTGTGTGTTATATATATATATATATATATATATATATATATATATGTGTGTGTGTGTGTGTGTGTGTGTGTGTGTGTGTGTGTAACAAAAACTAAATGCATTGTTAAATAAATGTATGAGAAAAACCGTCAACATAAATTGGAATGAATTCTAAAACAGTGAGGAAATCAAAGAAATGTCTGGACAAATACTTATATCGACCATAAGACAAAGAAAGTAGAGATATTTTGGACACAATCTGAGACGAAATGAGCCAAGAATTACAAAACAAGCACTGAAATAGGAAACGAACGGTCTGAGAAAGGAACAAAAAGGGACGTCCAAAGTAAACATTAAGAAGAACATTATTATGAGAAGCAAAAATTGCTGCGCTGAACTCCATGTCTGAAATCGAGCGCGTTACATGCAGTAGAGCGAAGTGGACGAATGTGTGCAACGTCTAACGGCACACATAGGATGCTGATATATATATATATAGCTGTTAATTCTAACTAATTTTGAGGTTTTGAACAACGGATCGACATCACGTCACAAGGGTAGTAACCCATAAGTGCACCGTTCATCTTCTAACTCAAGTCTGAGTCCGAAGAGGTTCAGCACAGTGCACAGGCTCTGTAGCACCGGCGAGGATCCTGAAATATTTCAGGTAGATTTTCAACTGTACATCTTACCCGGTCAGCCCCCCTAGGCTACTCTATTTGATTTCCGACTGCCAGGATATTTTTTCACGTGCGCAATTCACGTAACAATGCACACGGGCGTCCGATCTCACTACCCAAAGACCAGGGGAATTACTAGAAGTCCAAGTCTACGTGAAAAAATCCCAGCCCCTACCGGGGATTGCACTGGGAACCTCTAGCACTCGAGGCGGACACCTTGCCTAGAAACCACGCAGCCCCTATTTTATATTTATACTCATTTTATATAATAATAACACAGTGTTTGTTATTTCTAACATTTAATATTATCTTAATATTTTATAATTCAGGCTAATTTTATATTACAATAACAGACCACTTTTAATGCAAGGTAAATTTTTGTAACAATGTGACAATAATTTATATTTCTAATTTATTTAACACATCAACAATACAACATGTGTTGATTCAAGTTTAGGTGGTCGGACACGTGTTAAGCCTACCATTTTCCCACACCCATTATTTCCAATGTGTTATGTCCATCGTGTTTTGTTATATAAGAAACTATTACGGGTCACGGCTGAACTCAAAACCTACCTTATATATAACCATTAACTTCACGCATATTGGAAGCTTATGTTCCATGCGCCACTTCCAACATGCCCCGGCAAGTTTGTTCTGTTTTAGCTTAAATCCTTAAAACATTTGTTTATATTATATAAACATTATTCCTAATTTATTCTCTCATATGTATTTCGTGCAATCACACTTTTTCATTTCAGGGGCGTTGGAAAGTTGGCAACAAGACCCCCTTATTTTTTTTTTTTGGGGGGGGGGGGGCGTCTAACCCACTCAAAACGCCCAAACCTCCCCCCCCCCTCCCCCCATCAACCCTTTCATAAATTTGTAAGGTACGTACGTTGCCACTCTTCTCTTAACATATATAAGATTCATTATTCTGCCTAGCTGCAGTTCAGCTCATTATTATTATTATTAATAATATTATTCATATTCATATTATCATTATTATTGGTCAAGTAAACGAGGCTTAGTACTCGTGCGCTGCCGCCCCACACCCCAGCCTACCGCTCCGAAAAAAGTGTAGGGGAACTAAAGACCCCTACTTTCTCCCCTGCCTCATGCGTTTATTTAACGTTATAACCATGATGCTCCTAACTTTACCTACATAACAGTAGCATTTGATTACTTGAGACAGAACCTATATTTTCAAACAAATCGCTACAGACAACTTTTAGACAACATGGTTGCAATTGAAATATGGAAAATAAAGAGTATGGAAGTTCAGCAGTGAATTTGTCTGGCTAATAGTGGTTGAGTTCTTAGCACGTGTTTTTAATTTAGCCAAAATTAAAATTACATTGCAACAGGGTATCACATCCAGACGCTGGGATCGCAAACATAATGTCTTGGGACCATATGGAAGTCTTTCTGTTTATTTTTAAAATGAATTTCAACTGATACAGTTAAATAATTTTTGACTATTTTCTCGGGAAATGTTTGAAAGGTCAGCGGTGTTAACTTAATTAATTCGCAAGGTAAGTGCAATGTCTTGACTCGCACCGGTTTTTTAAAATTGACCCAGGCTTCTAGATTGACTCAGCATAAAATATCAGTAAAGTAAAGGACCCTAATCCACGGCTTTAGGCATGTTGGACATCATCATCTTCATCATCGCGTGCCCTGCCAACTGGCATAAGCGCTCATGCGTCTCCACTGATCACTATCCTTGGTTGCCTTTAACAGCTCTCATGATAATATTCCTCGATGCCATTGTTCTAGCCCATTCATCATCTCTCTTAGTCTGTCTCTACCCTTTTTTCCACTGATCTTTCCAGTTGTCACGATGTTCTGCAATGTCTATCTTCTCATTATGTGGCGAAAAAACAGTGTTTGTCTCTTTCTTATTGTTGCATATAGTTGTTATGTCTTATTGTTGCATATAGTTGTTATTTCTTATTGTTGCATATAGTTGTTATTTCTTAATGTTGCATATAGTTGTTATTTCTTATTGTTGCCTATAGCTGTTTTTTTTTTATTGTTGCATATAGTTGTTATTTCTTATTGTTGCATATAGTTGTTATTTCCTATTGTTGCATATAGGTTTTTTCTCCTATTGTTGGGCATACAGCGCTATATTTTATATACCAGTCGACACTCAGTGAGTGATGTTGTCAACGTCACGTCGTATGCCTTTATTTCCCAACTCTATTCCCGACAGCCCATTCAAGGCTGGGTCGACATTGTAGCCAAGTTTTTTTTTTTTTTTAAATTGTCCAGCTCTGTCAGGATCTGAACCTACGAACTTCAGATCCACATTCTAGCGTCTAGCTGCTACACCTCGGCGAATTCACAGCATAAAATATGGGCATACGCAAATGTTGTCCGAAGTAAAGGTGGCCGCTGTGATTTTGACCAAATCAGAAATCGAGGGTCGGCGTGTCTATAAATCTAGCATTAGTGCGTGAAAGCCGGTTTTCGATTTATCAAATGCAAATCTGGCTGGCCTTCTCACAAGGGAGGGAGGAAGAAGGTAAAAGTAAAGGACCCTTTCCACGCCTTTAGGCGTATAGGGCATATAGGGCTAGACCTATATTTTTATAGACCAACGGCACAAGATGGGTGATGTGGTCAGCATCACGCCGGCCGCCTCTACTTCCCGGGATTGCACCCGGTACCCACTCAAGGCTGGGTCGACCTGGGAGCCAAGGTCATTTTTGAAGAAAAGTCCGTCTCCGCCAAGGAGCGAACCCACGACCTTCCGATCCGCGGCGCGCGTCTAGCCGCTCTGCCATGGCGACTCCCGGAAGAAGGAAGAAAGTACAATTTATACAACTGAATAGTAA